TCTGCGTGGACGTGCCTTGAATTCCTAGAAATCATCGATAGAAGTCATTGTTTACAAAAGTTGTTACGCCCTAATTCCAGCTCTATCTAGAAATGGTTGAGTAATAAATTTGTTTTCGTAAAATCAGTAACAATTGGATAATCAATAGGTTAATTTGTAACCTCCATTTCCTCACACAGTACTCATTTTTCTGCCACGATTTTTTGGAAACCAACCGTTGAATAAGTTGAATTTAGAGTCAGATCGGGAATTGGTTGAATTTCGGGATGTGAAAGATTGACCATAGAAATTTATTAGGAAATACTGAAATAGAAAAAAAATGAGGCGCAGAGAAAAATGTTTAACTTCTTGGACAAATTTGTCAATTTTAAGACAAGCAATTTTAAAGATCTCAAATATAGAAACTTTTGTAAAACTTCAAACATAGACACATTTTCATATCTCTGGAACCTAGAAACGTGTTCTGGATCGTATCAATAATTATCATTATTCTGGAACAACGAAAATTTTCTCGAAAAATCTAGATCTTCAAAAAAGTTGGAAAATTCTGGTCAGTCTTGTAAGCGGTCGACTGCCTTTGCCTCCGATACTTGCAAAACAAGCTATCAAATTACAGTACCAAACTAAAATGTCATATGAAAGGCTCTGTCATACGACATTGTCGCCGAAGACCGTCACGAATGTATGTATTTTAGTTTTTCCCATAATAAGAGCTACTGATGCTGTGCTTGTGTGAATTCTGAAAATAGCAAGCAACGATGTTCTAGTAATAGCATTTCTGATCAGAAAAGGTTTTATTTACACCAAATTGAGGAATTAGAACGAAATCACACATGTCATATGATAGTTATATGATAATTTTCTTTTTGCTCGAATGTTGTTCTACCGTTTGCGTTGTGTAAGAGAGACGACGGTAGAGTATGAGAGTACGAAAACAAACAGATTGTCGCACAGGACAACGAAGCGAGTGTAGTAAAAAACGTCAACAGTTTCAACATTAGTGAAATAAATGCCGTTTCTACTGTTTGCAACCATGGCATATTCAGTGGATCTCCATCAATGAGCCCGACGTTGATTGCAACAGTTTTCAATCTATTGAGCTTTGCGCCGGCGGCACGTTCAAAACGTTCGAACAGGTCATTGATGCGCTCAATCACGCGTGTATTGGTAACTATAACAGACACATCATCTGCGTAAGCCACCACGAGATCGGGGCCGACGAGTCGCTCCAGTTGTTGCAGAAACGGATGGAGGTAGATGACGAACAGTATCATAGACAAAGGGTCCCCCTGGCGAACCGAACGTTCGATGGCGAAGCTCTGCGAGAGATGCCCGTTGACCAGCAGGCGAGACGAAGATTTTCCGGCAATACGAGCCAGTAAACCGACAAAGGCTGGGTTTATCCCCAACTGCCGCATCGTTCCATAGAGAAATGAGTGGGACACTCGATCGAAAGCGTGATCGAGGTCGTAGCTTATTAGTTTCCCTCTCCGCTTCCTCGCTATCAGCTCTGCAATGCGATCCTTCAGAGAAAGAGTTGCTTGAAAAATTGAGTGCCCTTCGTTAGAGCACTTCTGCGCATCGCTCAAAACCGGGTACGACCTCAACACAATCTCCAAACGAGATTTGTGTATACGGCTGAGGATTTTGTAGTCTGCGTTTAAAAGGCTGATCGGTCGGTATCCTCGTGCCGTGTTTACAGTTCCTCTCTTTCGTACAAGCACGATCACTCCGTTGACGAACTCAGCGGGGAGCTCCGTGGTCATAGCTTCGTTTAAAACGAGATTTAACTCTCGGTGGATGACATCGAACGTACGTTGGTAAAATTCGACGGGAAGCCCGTCGCTGCCAGCAGCCTTCCTTTTAGCCGATGTGCGAATAGATGACATTATTTCTGCTGTTGTTATTTCAGCCATACATGCCTCGTTTCGCTCGTCGCTTTCTGGAATCACTCATTCGCAGTGGAAAGAAGATTGTGCCTCCTCGCTCTCGTCAGACGCTGTGTAAAGCTCCCTGAAGTCGTTTAGCAGGTGGTTTTCAATTGTTTCGGAGCTGTTTAGAGTCTCGCCGTTCTCGATACCCAGCTCTGTTATGACGGTTTTTTTCCTTCGCCTCTCGCCAAGCTGGAACGTGCTGATATTTTCCCCTGCGATGAATGTATCGTTGATACGCATAAAGTGCTGGGAAAACATTCGCTGGTGAGTAAGCATCTGCGCTTTCATACGGTTGATCGTAGCCAACATCGTTGGATTTTGATAATAGTTGTCATATGCTTGCCGAAGCTGTGAATACAAACTTCCTTCCGAGATTTCCACCGAAAAAAAAGAAAGAATTTTCGGTTTAGCGCATGATATCCACCACGTTATCCAGTTTGGAAAGTTCCGTCGCTGTTGGGTTACATACTGCCATCTAATCTGGAACTCTTCGATGTTCTCTGCAGTGAAAATAAGAAGGGACCAGTAACCGCGGCCAGGTTCGCGTCCGAGGCTAGGGAGGCATATTCTTGCGGTAAGTGCTTTGTGGTTCGTAAAAGAGCATACATGCGTGGCTGCACTCCGGAGATACGTGCATAGACCATTGCTGACGTATATGCGGTCGAGCCTGGAGACCGAGTTGTGCGTTACGTATGTGGAGGAGGGGATCGTGGGGGTACAACTTAACATCGTTGAGTTGTAGCTGCTGTACCGTGGCCTGGAGAGCGGGGCTGCTTTTGAAGCCCGGCGAGTCACATGATCGTAGCACACAGTTAAAATCTCCGGAAAGTATTAGATGTTCGGTGTTGTGCCGAAGATAAAAGGCGACGGTATTATTGAAAAAGCGTTCTCGCTCGGCACGCATTGCTGTGTCCGACGGTGCATATACGTTTGCCAATGTGGTGTTTTCAACCCGCAGAGCAACGAGCCTGCCATCCAAGCTCTTTTCTACATGGGAAAACCGAATGTATTCTTTTAGCGCCATTGCAGTCCCCCTTCTCGAATGATCGACATTTGCGACAACGTTATAGCCAGGAATCGAGAGCTGCTCGTTCTCCACTTCTTGCAGAAACACGATTTCAAGCTCCATCGTTCTGATAAAAGTTCGGAAGGCGTTGAGTTTTGTTTCGTTGGTGATCGTGTTTATATTGATAGTAGCGATGTTGTAGCTGGCGATTGGATTCACGATTGGTTTTCCAGATCCCGCTCGTCATCGATACCATCTCGTCGCTTTCTGGTTCTAGGGCGTCCTCTAGAGTTTATGCAGTGCGTTGACATTGCCGAGTCGTCTGTCTCGTTGCCATCGGACTTTCCACCATCAGAGGGCTGTTGACCGGACGTGTTGGACAGCGACCTTTTCTCCGGCGGCGGTTTTGGACCCGATACGGGTATGATGGGGAGAGTGAGTGGAGGAAATTGTGTCTCCGACTGCGTGTTAATTGGTTTTTGTGTAACCGACAACAACTGCTGTTTCGGCTTCTTCGACGGCGGGGGTTTTGTCTGCAACGTTGGCTTTTGGCTCCGTGGCTTCGCATTTGGTTTGGTTGGTGTTGGTGTTGGTGCAGGCTGCTTTGTCGCATCGGCATACGACTTCTGCACTAGCAGCGTTTTGTTCTGCACGCAGGTGGCGCCGATGTGGATGAAATCCCGGCAGTGTCGGCAAGTTTGACGTTGACCAAAATAGGATAGCAACTTCGATTCCCCGTCGATAGTGACCCACGACTCGATGTTGTGTTTCACGATCATCTTGGCAATCCGAACACCAGTGGAAATGCCCGGAAAGTACAAATCACCTCCGCACATGTGTTCGCGAACTGAGATGACGTCACCGTACGCGGACAGGAATTTGATGATGGCTTCGTCCGATACGTCCTCAGACAGATCGTACAGCTTCACCTCCACTGTCCCGTCTTCCATGGTTATTCGCAGGGGAACCGTCTTCCCCTCACCCACTTGCACTTCGTGTTTTCCGTCGTGTTCTTCGCACACTTTTTGTGCCAGCTCCAGGTCGACGACCTTCACGAAGGCACACCCGAGCCTTCTGCTACACTGTATTCTCAGCACTTCACCGGGCTTTAAACCCAACATGGTTCCAACAAAGTTCTGCACTTTAGCATAGTCCTGTTTTTTCGGCAACATCCCATAATCTATGCGGAATGTGTTCGCGCGACGCGCCATCGTGGAGTCGTAGTACGCGGGAACACGCTACGGCTCGGCGATGGAAAAACGCAGCGCGACAAACGATATATAGCTTGAGATCGACTTCCAGAAATAGCGATAGCGTAAGTACGTCTGCTTGGCTCGGAGGTTGAGCGCTCACTATGCAAATACTTGACACCAATAAAATGTATTACAATTTATATTAAAATTCAATGTTGAGACTATTCAAAACTATTGGTTGTTTGTGTAAAAACTACGTGATTTTCATATATCCTGCTGTCACATAGATTCTATGTTATTTTCCAGTGTGAAAAAATATTTCAAGATGGCGAGTGAACGTTGTGTTTCTGACGACACAACGATTTGGAATTTTCGGTTGATTTATTGGACCTTTTCGCGAGTAAGATTGATTAAACTAAATTAATAAACTACGTAGACATTTTTTGGGATTCTTGCCCCCCCCCCCTGCGTAGACAATTGTCCATACAAAAAAAATGTATGGGCCGTGGATAATTGTCACCCCCCCCCCCCCCTAAACTGTCTACGTAGTTTATGGACAGCCCCTTATGGAAAATATTCATGTATGAATTCACGTAACAATGAAATGAAAAATATTCTGAGTGTATAAATAAATAAACATCAGCTGAAACTGTGCATTAGTTTGATTTGATCTTTTTTTTTTAATAGTTGAAAATCTATTTTTTTAATAGTAGAAAATCATCTGAGTACAAGAGGGTTATGTTTTATGCTAAGTTATGTTCCCAATACAATAGTTATGCATCCACTACTTGAACTTAGTTGCAGCTGAACGAAAATACGGTAGTTTGTCCAGGTTACCAGAATAAAAACACAAAATCATAAACATACCTGCAATGTGTACCGCTCGTTTTCCACCTGGATATCCTTGTTTAAAAATTCCACCCCGATCGTATGAAAACTGTTTGCATCGAAAAAGTTGGACACGAAACGATTCATCAGGCAGCTCTTGCCTACCCCACCGTCACCTAGAAAAGGAGAAAGAAACAAAAAACAATAATGAGCATAAGTTACGCATAAGGCAATCAAATTAAGTATAGTTTAAGTTTTATTGTGATAGTACAGTTCAGCTGTACAGTATTGTTCAAAGGAATGGAACCGCTACACTTATTTAGGAAATTATGATTTTCTAGGGATGAGGCTTCACGCTTTCAATGTTTAAATATTCATGAAAACGCACAGTAAATTTAAGAAACCTACCCGAAACAATGTTTTAAAAAAACAAAATGCGCGCCCACATAACAAACAGTTGCTTATCTCGTTTGCTTTGCCTTTCTTGTTTTTAATGGATTTATAAATCTATCATTATAATAACAAACAGTTTTCATCCTAAACAAATGCAACTTACCTAGGATGACTACTTTAAGTAGTATATTTTTGCTCGGCGGCCTCATATTCGTCATCTTGAATAACTTTCAATGTTTACACAACCTTCTCTCGCTGCTAATCTCTGGTGGATTGTTGTTCAATCCAGCACTCGGCAGGTTACTCTTCACGGACTGTTTGAGGCCAGTCAATTCACGTTCCCTGTTACTGCTCCACCGAAAATGGTCACGAACTGTGAACTCTTCTGTTGCCAAACAAATAGCACATAGACAGTAAAATACATAGAGAAAACTTTCGTCTCCGTTTTCGTTTAGCACCAAAATTACAACAACACTATCTCTTTGTTTAAATGCGCATAAAATTAAAACATAAAATCAGAAACGATTGCCCCACAAACACATCCAAGGTCGGAGAAGAGAATAATGTTGTCACCCGCAAAAACAGCCACTTGCTACTGCCTTTATTCACAGTGCAAATAAATGCAGTTCATACACTATTGCCAGCTAAAGACTATCGTGAAATGAAAACACAGAACGTTGCGCTACTAATCAGCTGTGGATTACATTATTTAGCTGTTGGTACTTGTAGATTGATTACACTATTTTCTTTACGTTTGTTCGTGCAACCTCACCAAACATCGCCTTTTTTTCTCGCTAGACGACGATCGAATTGGCGTTGACGGCACCGTCGAAAAATCGTCTCTTCTAGCAAAGATTGACAGTTTTTTACACGCTCGCTAAATGTTCCTCAAAAGTGAGTAACTTCTACTCAGTTTGGTATTTTTGTACAAAATGTCAAAATCTGAGTAACATTGATTTAGCCTCGTTTTTTACCCAAAAACACTTGGAAAGTTTATCATCTCATTCCGTCACCGACTCATTAAGGCCTCCCGCATAAACGCGAACCATAAATTGACCTTACCAAAAATGGTTAAAAATTGTTTATAATCCCTGCTAAACTTCAACTGAAATGGTTATGGAACTTTACAAGAACGTTTAATGATAAAGTTTTAACCTTATGTATTATGGTTTTTTGGAAGCGGACCTTAATGAGTTGTTAAGAACCATTACCATTCAAAATTCTTGTTTTCTCCATATATTTTCGGGAGGAGGACTATATTAGAACCTTTTAACTTATGGTTTGAGAACATTAATGGTTATGGTTATGGTAGTCAGTAAGGTCCATGAATAGTTTTGTATCATCGATCAACTTTATGTGGAATATATCGCGAATTGGTTGCCTGTAAATTACTGATTCCACGTAAAGTTGAGCGATAATACAAAACCATTAATGGACCTTACTGACTATCATAACCATAACCATTAATGTTCTCAAACCATAAGTAAAAACGTTCTAATGTAGTTCTCTTTTCGAAAATGTATGGAGAAAACAAGAATTTTGAATGGTAATGGTTCTTAACAACCCATTATTTGTGAGGTCCGCTTTCAAAAAACAATAATACATAAGGTTAAAACTTTATCACACAAACGTTCATGTAAAGTTCCATAATCATTTCAGTTAAAGTTTAGGAGGGATTATAAACAATTTATAATTATTATCGGTAAGGTCAAGTTATGGTTCGCGTTTATGCGGGCTGTATAGAGATCGAAGCGAAGCGAAAATCTCATACAAAATACTAAATTATTCACCAGCGTGAAAAACGCAATTGGCAAATTTTTCACTTCGCTTTCAACTTAAAGGCCTGCATAGAGATCGAAGCGAAGCGAAAAATTCATACAAAATACTAAATTTTTCACCTGCGCGAAAAACGCAATTGGCAAATATTTCGCTTCGCTTTGAACTGTAAACAGATTCGATCCAGCGAAATCTTATTTTGTGGATCGTATCTTTTTCGCTTACGTTCATTTTTTTTCGCGCATGCAGCGCTAGCGAAAAGAGCAGCAGGTAAGCGTAAAGTTGACGTTTCGAGAAAGAGCGTATCTGTCAGATTTTCACTTCACCGGAGGTGTAAACTGACCGATTTCGTTTCACATGAACTGTAAACTGCGAAAAAAGGAAACTGGAAAATGTTCCACAAACATTTTTTCACAACCTTTTTCGCTGACGAAATTTCATGATTTTTCGCGTGCTTCAATTTTCGTTTCGCTTCGATCTGTATAGTAGGCTTAAACAGATACGATCCACACAGAAAAAAAGCTGTTGAATATTACATCCAAACTGCTGCAACCAGGCCAATCCATCGGTTGTGTAATATAACGTTGTACGATGTACATCGATTTTGCGAACAAAATTACATCCATTGATGTAATATTGTATCTGCTTTTTGCTATTACATCATTATTTCATACATCAGCTTGAATTACATTGATCGATATTACATTTTTTTTTGCTGTGCAGCGAAATCTAATGTTGTGGATCGCATCTTTTTCGCTTACGTTTATTTTTTTTTCGCGCATGCAGCGCTCGCGAAAAGAGCAGCAGCTAAGCGAAAAGTTGACGTTTTGGGAGAGCGTATCTGTCAGATTTTCACTTCACCGGAGGTGTAAACTGATCGATTTCGTTTCACATGAACTGTACACTGCGAAAAAAGGAAACTGGAAAATGTTCCACAAACATTTTTTCACAACCTTTTTCGCTAGCGAAATTTCATGATTTTTCACGAGCTTCATTTTTCGTTTCGCTTCGATCTGTACACGAAACGAAAATCAATTATTTAATTCATGTGTTTCACTTATACATTTTTGCCAAAGCATCAGCCTTATACCACAAACGAAGTGACAGACGGAGCGGCTCAAAAACTTTGGTGACTAACCTGCTATTGCAAATTTTCAGTGTACCACATGGTAACACCACTACTACTGGATTGTACCATAGAGGTAACTCTAAGACCACTGGGTCCCGAAGAAAATGATTATTATTTTTGGCTCACTCAGTACCAGAACAACGGTCCCAAGCAGTCCCAAGCTATTTCACTCACCCCTGCATGTTCTGCATGAATCCACACACCCCTGATGTTATCTGTCAAAATTTCATAGCGAATCAAAACAAACATAGTGTAGTAATAGAATTTCAACTAGAATAGGCTACGTTAATCGTTTGCTTGGGACCAATAGGCTACTAAAGTGGTGAGCCAATTTAAAATCGTTAGTTTCCACCCCCTAGTAGTGCTGCCATGTGGTACACTGAAAAATTGAAATAGCAGGTTAGTCACCAAAGTCTGTCACTTCGTTTGTGACATTATTTTAATTGATTTCTTCGCCAGTTAGTCGTCTGCACTCAGCTGGCTGGCATGCCGCCATGTTATTGAAACCAACATCTGAAACGTCACAATTCCACTGTGAACTGCAAAAATGGCGTGACTGAATTGTCTTATTTTTATCAAATGAAATTATTTTCCCTTTTATGCCATATAAATGGTTGACTTCGTGGAAGAAAATCAGAAAATAATATTTTATGAGTCCTAAGTTTATTTTTCACAAAATATAAGCAAAAATATTAAGAATATCCATAATATCAGTCACGCCTTTTTTGAAATTCTGGCTTGAATCTTCTATTTGTTTACAAATTATGAGCTGTCAGTGGGGCCCGCAATTCGCGGGTCCGCAGCGATGTTAGCTCTTTTCAAGGCAAGGCAAACAAGATAGGGATGCCAGCTAGCTGTCTGCACTTCGTTTGTGATACCAACAGTAGGCAGCATCATGGTGGGTATATAAATGGTGATACAGCTTTGTCACTATATAGGCGAGGAGGTCGCGGGGGGGAAAAGTGCGGGTTTAGAGCAAATTGTAAACAAACTCGGTCGCTGTCCCATACAAAAATCCAACATGGCTGAATCATGAATTTGACACATTAGAACACCTATACACGAAACGAAAATCAATTATTTAATTCATGTGTTTCACTTATACATTTTTGCCAAAGCATCAGCCTTATACATTCCATAAGACAAACCACATAGGTCCTATTAGAATGCATAAAAGGTATGTGTGACCGCTTATACATTTCATTTGACACATGATCTTTATTAACTTTTTGCAATGCGTCTGCTTATTAGTTGACTTATACATTTTATGAATAATCAGCAATGGAAATTTGCCAAAAGGTATAAGGAGATTTCTATCCGTGTATGTAGTCACCTTGGGCAGCATGTCCCGGACTCAAATAATTTATTTTGCTGTGCTGGGCCCGCTGTCACTGCGCCTGCCACTGGGCTGATTGGAACAGCTTTTATCAGTTTTGTGGTGACAGTCGTCCATACTTTAACTAGAGGGCTTTACACCCAACCCTCGTTATTAAGCCCGACTGTAGAAACGCCGTAAATACACCCTCACATACACTCTGAATGACACAAAGATGTATTCGAATTTCGAGATATTAAAATTGCTATATAGAATCTATAGATTTCTCTCGGATTAGTCATTTGCCATCGAGTATCTGTATACTGTAGCACACAAGCGGTCCCGTCGGCGGTTTCGCAAAATTTGACGCGCATCGCATCAGCATCTAAAATAAAGTTTTGCGCATCTGACAATCGGCTCCTACACTTCAAACCTGCCAAAACTATGGTAGACGTTGATCCGTCTGTTGCAGCATCTGATGAGAGGTTCGCATAAGCTATTATTTTGATGGAATCATTATTATTAGTTCTCAAAAAATTTCCCATTCTAGGTGGTTTAATTGGACTAAATCCTCGTACAACATGCTTCGATCAATCGAGAAATCCATCTTGTCACGTAAGTTTTAATTAATTGACGTCATAATAGAGTATGTACACTAAAACTACCTATAGCGAAGCAGAGTATAGTTCACAAGATCGTAACTACCTATATAGAGGAAATTCATATCATAATTACACCGAAGGAAAATGCCTATTCATGTCGCAAATGACGTTGCTTTTCTACTTACACCTGTTATCATTTCTTATCACCAAGTTTTGAATTGATATTGTGCTTCCTTCGTCAGTACGCATAAAAATATCAGAAATTTCACGCAAATCAAGTGGACGCGTTTATGCTAATCAACCCAATTTCCAGAGTCCCTCAATGATACGTTATTCATTTTGTTCTTAGATTTGCGACTGCCGTATCGGGGGATGTTCGTTGACATTGGACCTTGTGTGGGAGAGGCTGACAAAGTATGGACACTCACAATGAACACCGAATCCAAACGGGTACCAATTGTAATGCTTCATGGTCTGGGGGCAGGTGTTGCCTTATGGGTACTCAATTTGGATGAAATTGCACAGAACCGACCGGTATATGCGATAGACATTCTAGGGTTTGGTAGAAGCTCGCGACCAAAGTTTGCCGATGATGCGATGATTGCGGAGAAGCAATTGGTAAAATCGATAGACGAATGGCGCAAGGAAGTAGGGCTGAAGGAAATGATCGTCTTGGGACATTCTATGGGTGGATTTCTAGCCACAAGCTACGCCTTATCATATCCCGACCGGTAAGTTGAATCTGCTGCTTAAGAATACCATCCCTGAGATTGTTTTCTGATTTCTAGTGTGAAGCATCTTATATTAGCTGACCCATGGGGATTTCCTGAGAAACCTGCAGATTCAGAGAATCGACCGAAACCACCTCTATGGGCAAAAGCAATTCTGGTGGCTTCGAAACCTTTGAATCCATTGTGGATAATTCGCTTCTTTGGACCACTAGGGTCATGGCTGGTTGGCAAGACGAGGCCAGATATCTTGCGCAAATTTTCGGGTGTTGTCACAAACCAAGATGACATACCAAACTATATTCACCAGTGTAATGCTCAGAAACCGACGTAAGCCAATGTTACATAGCAACCTTTTTCGATCTAAAATTATTATATTTTAGGGGCGAAGGTGCTTTCCATACGATGATGAAAGATTTTGGATGGGCTAAAAATCCAATGATCAATCGTATCCAAGATATGAAAAGCACAGTGCCAATTACGTTTCTCTATGGAGAGCGATCCTGGGTGGATAATAGTCCTGGAGAGACAATAAGGCAGCTGCGCCAGCAGGGCTACGTTAAAAATCATTCAATCAAGGGTGCTGGACATCACGTGTACGCTGACGATGCTAAAACATTCAACCGATTAGTCAACGATGCATGTACAATTTGTGATGAAGACTATCAAGCTGTGGTTAGGCATGAAGAGTCTAGTAGTCCTAGTGCAACTTAATGTTTTTTTCTAGTCTATGTTCTAAAGTTCAATTTTTCGGATCATTTGATGGTTTAAAATAAACTAACTTCGGCTACAGTATTAGTAGTTTTGTTCAGTTCATTCGCCCTTATTCTCGTTTTCGATCGAACCATATTTTCCATACAGAACTTTTTTTTGTGTATGAAAAAGACGGTTCGAACGAAAACGCGATTGTTGGGCGATTCTTTAGTATGGTTCGTGTGAGTGATTTTCACCCATATTCTTGTTTTCGTTCGAACCGTATTTTCATACATTTTTTATTGTATGGAAAAACGGTTCGAACAAAAACAAGCATATGGGTAATTATTTTCTATTCGGAAGTTTCCTTCATTACATTGGTCATTAGATAAGTTCACTTCAGCTTTTAACTCTTCAATATTTGGCTGAAAGTCTAGTTATTAAGGTCTATTCTGCGCCGCGAATGAGGTGTGGTTACTCGGTGTCACTACTGAGGTGACAACAGTTACCGCGAGTAATGTGACTCTCGAGTCACCTAATTCGGGACACCGAGTCACCTCGCCACACTCGCGGCGCAGAATAGGCCTAATTCACCCCTAGGAGCATCCATTAAGAGTACTAGACGCTCTAAGTAGGGAGGAGGGCAATAAACTGCCCTGTGCGGCAAAACAGTCCCATCTTTGTTAGATTTCCGAGGGGTTTCTACCAAGATTGTAAGGTGATCGGTAATAACAAATTACCGATTCTATAACATTCCCCAGAATGCACCATTCCTCACAATGTACCATTGCCCAGAAAAGTATGCCATGTATAGGCCTTTTTAATAGAAACTAAACAAGGTTGCTGATCCTCGCAGCGAAGCGCAATTCGTTATATATTTCTCTCGCTGTTGCTGAAGTAGTACTGCACGAGAGCGGCTCTCTTCTCGTGCACGAGAATATATCTCCCACGAATGATTTTAAATAATTCAGTTTTGCGCTTCTCTACATTCTCTCGTCATTCACTGAGTTACGGCTTTAGGCAAACCAACAATCGTCACTCATCCACTTGTTTGCTACTGGACGAATTTAGATGGGTTCATTCAATTCGATTGCTATTCGTTTGTGGGCAATATTCACAAAGAATGCAAGATTCCACTCGCCACGAGCGTTCACGGCGATGCGATATACTGAGCTGGACGCTTGAGTGGTTGATTGACGCTGCGCTGAAGCAAAGCATTTTTAATGATTCAGTTATCCCCGTAACGTGGGTAGATCACCTTTTCGTGGTACGTTACGGGATGTAAGATCTACCACCGAATCGTAGTCTTGACTACTTCAAACTAGGGGTACAGGATTTTTCAGTAATCAAAGGAACACATCTTAGTCCTTGTTACTTTTTATGCCTTGTTGATAGTGATAAGTCCTCGGGTTGCCTGTACCGAGGATGATCTTGAAACAAGGAAAAAATGAGTTAGTTAGTCTTCATCTATGTGATTCCTAATCTTCTATTCATTGTTCTCTAGTTTGAAGTGGTTAAGACTAGGGTTCTGATGCATGTTCATTATCGGTGTCATTGCTTATTTTTATTGCTAAGGAATCCCATTTCGACTGACAAAGGGGCGCGCCTTTGGAGGGTATTCCAACACTCCGAAGGGTATAAATAGCGGGACCTTTCATTTAGAATCGATTCCTTGCGATGAAGGCAAGAATGACAACTGTATCAACACCGAATACTTCATCATTTCTCAATAGTGATGGAGTAATACGACATGCACTAAACTAAGGACACGGGCTATACTACAATAGATCAAATTACTGGTCGCAGTAGTGTTATGTCCCGAACAAAGGAAAAAAAAATGATTCAGTAATCGCACTACTGTGCGTAAGATCAGGTGTATGCGAGAGAACAGTAACTTTAAGTTTGGAAAAATCTCTATAAATAAAAATTAAATGGTGTTCTTATGTCATGCTGTAACTCGAAAACGGATATTTTTATTTTGTGGTGAGGTCGTACACGGTGGTCTAGTTAGAATAACTTTAAAAAAAATCAGCTTTAGGAATTCACCTGGTCGCCTCACTACCAACAGGAACAATTGACGTGTTCAAAATTCACCTCACTGTGTCGGCTACGAACAGCCCCTAGTTGTTTCCGATGATTTAAATAATACCAAATGGCAATTGTAATATTGGCACGATGCGTTTATTAATTTTCAGTAGACTACCTTACCATGCAACGATAAGTTTATGGCAAATGCTGACTTTGAATATTGGGTGGCCGCATCAACTTTTAGGCAAACTGCCTTCTGCCGAAATTTGACAGACAATATTTGCCGCATGATTTCAGCGCCTCTGTGGATTGACGGAGGCAGAGTATTCCGGGAGATTTTCAGACCACACGCCTTCCACAGGAGACCCAAAATCAAATTTGCACCTTCTCATTCTGGATAACTTATGGGAAGGATGTGATCCGTTACCATTTGCAACGTACCCAGGAGCACATCAGCCCTAGTAATGTCCACTTGCACTTTCGGTTTTGCACGTTTTGCAGGTTTTGTTCCAGGTCACTAGTCTCCTCCTCTAGCCCTTGGGCCACTTCCGGGTGGCAGGCATTAAAGTGACATTTGATTTTCCCCGGATTGAACACCTTTTGTACGATCCGCGTCTATATCGGGAGGCAACGATATTTGCATCCAATGCCGTATTTTCTTCCTTTTTAAACTTCCAATATTCGTCATGCTCATATTGGCAACCGGTAGCACTCGCCGCGAGTATTAAACTAACTCACCGTGAACGTTCATTGAGGCCTGCACTCTTATCCGATCACACCAGTTCGTAAAGAACGATGAGAATGGAACGAGATTGAATGGAAGGCAGCACGAATACTCTTTGCACACAGGTCACTCACAAAGACTCGTGTTAATGGCATCGTTCGGTTCGTTCAGGAATGTATACTTTGCTTTCATTATTCCAAACGCGTTCGGAGACGGTAAGCGGTTTTGAGTCATACGATGCGAGTATCAGTAACCTTGAAACGATCGATTCAACCACTGGTGGTGAATAGGAGAACGTCAAAAAGAGTGTTGTGAGCACAAACTTTGGTGACTAACCTGCTATAGAGTTCTCTACCACGGTTAGTATTAGTGAGCAGTTTCACTAATACAAGCGTTTTACTGGTTGAAAATAAAAAACAAACCGCTGTCAGGTCGAACACTTTGACAGCTGATTTCGTGGTTGAAAATAATAAACAAATCGATTTTACACGGCTACACTAGCAACGTTGTATTGGTGAAATCTTGCGGCAAGAAGTCAATTGGCAAATCAAAGTTGGCTCTCGTGGAGAATAGAAGAACTATGAAAATGATGATGGTTTTAAAATTTTCCATGGGGAAGTATACGAGTGCAATCTTAAAATGCTTTTATTTTGTGAATGGAGCATTTTATTTAAATCTGGTTAGTGCTACTGCTGCGTTAGTAGAAAACTTCAGGACTACTCAATACGCCTTTTTAATGCACCACCAACGTAGAGTGCGCCACGCGAGTTCGAGAAGAAACGTCAACCAAACCGTTTGTTTACATCAGAATAAGTATTTTCCCCAACGCAAATAACAGCATTTTTCATTCAAAATCTTGCCAATTTCCATCGGTAATTGTCTTATTGTACGATTTTCCACAAATCTGAAATGATTTGCACCTTAACCACAAACGAAGTGACAGACGGAGCGGCTCGAAAACTTTGGTGACTACCCTGCTATTGCAATTTTTCAGTGTACCACACACAGCAAAAAAAAATGTAATATCGATCAACGTAATTCAAGCTGATGTATGAAATAATGATGTAATAGCAAAATGCAGATACAATATTACATCAATGGATGTTATTTTGTTCGCAAAATCGATGTACATCGTACAATGTGATATTACAAAACCGATGGATTGACCTGGTTGCAGCAGTTTCGATGTAATATTCAACAACTTTTTTTGCTGTGCATGGCAACACCACTACTACTAGATTGTACCACATGGCAACACTACTATTAGCACAAACGAAGTGACAGACGACTTACTGGCGAAGAAATCCATTTAAATAATGTCCCGAATAGAAATTTACATTAGCCCAACGTTTGATTTTGATGTCTACATCAGCATCGAAATCAAATGTATGCCTGATGTCAAACATTAGAAAACATTATGATTTAGTTGTATTTAAGCAACGTAACATGGTGTATACATCAGAAATTTTGGTACAAAATTTTGCCATTCTAATGTCGGTCTGACGTCAAAAATTTCAATCTATTGACATTAGAATCAAACGTTTTAAGGATGTTTTCAGATGTAAAAAACGTTAGAACTAAACGTTGTTCGGATGTTTTTAAATGTAAACGTTTTCTGATGTTTTCTAATGTAGATGTTTCCTGATGTTAGAACCAAACGTTTTTGGATGTTTTCGGATGTACATAACGTTAGAACTAGGGATTGTTCGGATGTTTTTATATGTAAATGTATTCTGATGTTTTCTAATGTAGATGTTTCCTGATGTTAGAATCAAACGTTTTTCGGTTGTTTTCGGATGTAAAAAACGTTAGAACTAAACGTTGTTCGGATGTTTTTATATGTAAATGTATTCTGATGTTTTCTAACGTAGATGTTTCCCGATGCTAGAACCAAACATTTTTTGGATGTTTTCGGATGTACACAACGTTAGAACTAAACGTTGTTAGGATGTTTTCAATTGTACTTCGTGTTTGTTGTTCTCTGATGTTTTCAGATGTACAAAACGTTTAAAGTAAACGTTGTTTGAATGTTTTCAAATGTAGATGTTTACTAATGTTTTTAGATATACAAAACACTAGAATCTTACTTTTCAAATGCTTTCAATTATATTTACAACACATTAGAATTAGAAACATGATCGTGTAAACACTACACACCATTGTTGTTAGATAACATCATAAAAATGCGTACATAATAGTCAATGCTGAAGCTCCCGTTTCCCACCAGTCAGATAACTGACCTTAGCTAACCAAATATCATTGCGGCAACTCTCTATGCGGCAGGGGAACTATGCCATTAGCGCGCTAAG